GAGAGCAAGTTGTCTTCTCCCCCTCCCCCCCTCTCTGGTAATTGCAGGTCAGCGTTCATGCAGGTGAAGGGCATTCTGCACGAACGCTTTCCTGGCGTCCCGATCGTGGATACCACATATCCGGCGCCATGGAGAAACAGGATGATTGCGAACCTTGTTGGGGCAGGACAAGTGGCAGCCATTGGAATTGGTCTCGTCGGAGACCGCCTACCCCCTCCTATGCAGTCGGTCATTCCGCAGGGGATCTTAGATCTCGCCCGCCAGAACAAAGGCATGTTTCTCGGTGGGGCCTTCGTTCTTGGCAATATGCTAAGGTCGGCTGTTCTTACCACAGGTGCCTTCGAGGTTTACTACGACGGGAAATTGGTGAGTCGCGTCCTAGGTTTCCTTGTGCTTCCCTCTTTGTTCCTTCTCTATCACCCCCACTTCCCCCCCTTCCCCCCCTTCCCCCCCTTCCCTCCCCCCTTCCCGCTCTCCTCCTCGACCCCGGAACCACCCTGCTTCTCATCCCGCCACCCACCCACCCACATAACTCAGCCCTTTTTTCTTTCCTAGTAAAGCATTGACACACTCTTCTGCACCATTGCGAGAGAAACACAACACACACACACACTCAGGCCCTGATATGTCGGTGAAAGTCCGACGAGATAGAGAGTGGCACTGTGTGTGATGCATTTTTTTGTGGAGGTGTGTATAGCGAAGATGACAATACACATGGTAAAGGTTGCCGCCCTAAGCATGCTGGTCGTTGGCTGGAGTATATGATGCATACATGCCGCGGTCAGTGAGGTCGTCATTCAATGGGGAGAAGGAACAAGGGGGATGCAATTGCTATTGGTATGCTCGATTTGCGCATGTCATGTGTGGTCGGGGGCCGTTCTGCTTTTCCCTTTCTCAATCGGAATTACAGATCAGGAAGGGGAGATCAGCAGCAAGGCTTGCACAGTTGAAGGGAAGGGGCTGCATTTCTAATGGCTGCGGGGAGGAGGTGTAATTACAGATCAGGAAGGGGAGATCAGCAGCAAGGCTTGCACAGTTGAAGGGAAGGGGCTGCATTTCTAATGGCTGCGGGGAGGAGGAGGTGTAAAATTGGTACTGAAGAACTGGTGATTTGAAAAATTCGCATTTGCCTCATCAAATTACGGTATGCATCAAATTACTGGTCAAAACACTTGAAACTTGAGAAGAATCCTTTTTTTTTTTTTTGTGGCCCGATGGACCACGGATCAAATATTAAACTGATCAGAACAGATGCTACATTTGATGTTAGCCAAAAGGCCTTGAGAAGAATCCTAAGATTCATTATTAGACATGGAAAAAAAAAAGCGGGAGGAGCCAAGAACCAAAATGACATGCGTGCGGTCCTTTGGGACATCCATGTAAAAAAAAAGGAACGCTACACAGAAGAGAAGATGATGAGCATGGATGGCCCCTGCGCACGGAAGACACGCGTAAACTGAGAAATGGTTCAGATAAGCGATAAGAAGAATTGTCATGCGGCACCAAAGAACCGGTAAAGGCCAAAGTACAGAAACCCTTAACCAAAAGAAGGGCCATTAAGCGATAGCACGTGAGCGATAGCATCAAACGTTGACCGAAGATTGAAACGCTGCAAAATGGAGCGAAGAAGTCAGATATTTGTTATTTTAACGGTGTCGTCGAGGATAATGTCTCAATGTATAAAGCTGGCTGCAAAATGCGTTCAAGAAGTCATATATACATATTTCAAAATGGAGCGAGGAACTCAGGTATTTGTAATATTAACGGTGTCGTCAAGGATAATGTCTCAATGTCTAAAGCTGGCTGCAAAATGCATTCAAGAAGTCATATTTACGTATAGAGTTTTTCATCTGGTGTGGGTGAGTGGTATAGTCTGCTTTGATTTCGTTGCAGGTACCTTGAGGGCAGATTGTACCTGATTTTGGTTATGTAGTGAGTCTTTCTTTGGAACTCCATCTCCGATGCTGGAAACGGACTTTCGGGGTGCTGCCGCGAGACGGGAAAACGACATTGGTACTCTAGAACGAAAGGAAAACCGGTCAAATAATTGGAGCCCTGCCAAGCAAAAAAGAAAGGAAAAATGGTAATATATATATATACAGGGTGACCGGCGTTCGGGACGGGCCGAACGCCCGAACCGGAACTCCCGAACGTACGGGACCCCTTCGGGAGGCGTTCGGCCGTTCGGGCCGAACGCGGACCAAAAAAAAAGAAAAAAAAAGAAAAAAAAAGTTTTCAAAAAGTTCCGAAAAAAAAACTATGTTATGGAGAAACATAAACTAAACAACATTTGCCTGGGCACTACATCCAAATTCTTTACCAAATTTGAATTAAAAATCCAATACAGAAAATAAACACTATGATAAAAATAAGAAAAAATAAAAAGAGAATTAAAATGAGTGAGTGTGCCAGCACCTTTTTGGCACCGCCATCTTTGTCGATTTTTAATTATTGTTTGGCATTGACAAATGCCCTGAAAATTTACAGATATGTAGTTTGCATAATCAATAACGCATTGAAAAACTTTCAAAAAATAATAAATTTTTTTAGGCCCCGAAATAAAGTGAAAACAAAAAGTTAAAAGTGAAAAAAAAACAAAATAGTGAGTGGGCGAGCACGTTTTGACACCCCCATCTTCGACGATTTTTAATGTTTTTTTTGGCTTAGCAGAATGGCTTCAAAATTTATAGGCGCGTAGGTTACATCATAGAGAATTCGCAAAAAAAAAATCAGAAAAAAAAAACTTATTTTTAGGCCCCGAAATATTTTTTGGCGGGGGCCGAACCTGGAGGTGTTCGGCCCCCGAACGGGACCCCGAACGCCCGAACGTTCGGGGGCCAGCCCGGGGGCCCCCGAACGTTCGGTCAGGTAACCCTGTACCTTGTACGCAAGAGGTTCTGAACAGGGGGAGTTGTAAGGAAGAAGATTAAAAACGAATTTAAGATTTTTTTGTTTTTTTGGTTTTTTCGCTTAGGCGCTCTGATATCATGTGACAATATATAAATGTTTGTGTTGAGAACCCATTACAACCAGTTTGTGATGAATTCTGAACACAAGCGCAGTTCCGGGCGTGTAATGTCAGCATGGCGACTAGGGGGGGGGGGGGGGCTGGTCCTTGGCCTGGGCACTCTTGGGGGGGGCTCTTGCCTGAGCTCACCTTGTCAGGTCTCGGGTCAATTAATGTTTTTAAATTTTAATTGACCGTGTCCTTTTTTCTTCCATTTATCTTTTTTGGCCTTTTTTTTTTACCCTGTCCTATCTCTGCTCATGATGGCAAAGCTGTCTCGATGGGCTAACACCCCTGCGTATGTACTGATTACTTCCAAGGCACCACTGTGTCCGTTCACCTCCACACCCTTTGTGCGCCTGTATACAAGGGTGCAGTGGACAGTTAGGTCGTGGGCGGGTGGCAGTCTGCAAGGATGAAAAACTGCAGCTGTGGACGTGAACCGATCAATTGTGATTGCAATGGTGCAGGCCCGAGGCCACGGCCATCATTGTTGTACCCATATCATTCCGTCAGGATTCCGACTCCTAAGCTGTGCATCTACACAGTTAAATCTGTGTACCGTTCGGCCACACGGGCTGGGATGATCATTTGAGTGTGCATTGTCAGTTTTATATGGACGATCATTCTGCTTCTGCATCGTCGGTCTTAAGACGGATGTTCATTCTGTGGGATCGGCGGTCTGGTCATGATGGCTATTATGAACTGCAAAGTCACTATATCCAGACGGGCAGTTCCCCCTCCCCTCCCCCCCCCCCCCCCCCCCCCTTCAGATGCGTGATTTGTAGGTGCATCGGCTTTTTGCCTGCAAAAGCAGTTCGGAGAGGGTATCGAGTGTGAGCATGCATGCAGTTGGGGAGGGATTGAAGGTTCGTTCTCCGCTACGAGCGGCCAGAGGCTGTAGGGGAACTCCTAATGTGTGCATGCCTTTCGGCCATAACAGGTGTTACCTTCCTGTGGTTGAAAACAAATAATATACTCTACACAATATACTCTACAAGGTCAACACGCACTCTCCAGTTCCATGGCAACAGGGTATATACATACATGCCGATACTGTTTTTCCCTCTTTTTCTCTTCCCCAAGGGCAATGGCCTTGAAGTATCTTTCGTGAACTGATCAGCCCCAGGTAATTCAGGTTGTTCTGTTCGGTCAGGTCTGTTTTTTGTCAACAGTTGCATGGGTGTACCGACCGACATTCAGCCACATGGGCTCTGGGTACATGCCGGTTGTGGCTTCTTAAAAAATAAAAATAAAAAAGAATGAACTCCTTTACTATGTTACCAGAGTGGCCCAGGACCACTTGCGCGGCTGTGCCAAAGATGAAAAGAAATAAAAAATAAAAAAAAATATTGCCACAGCCCCTCGTTTGTTGTCCTCTTCTCTCTCTCTCTCTCTGTCGACGGCTTACCGGGCAGCTCTGTTTGACTATATATGACGATATATATATATATTTAGCTAGGCTATCAGCCGGGCAGCCGGGGTCACGTTGTTTGTCCGGGATGCCCGGCCGTGCAAGGGCCATAAAAGGTCGCAGGGAAAGAAAAAAAAAAAATGTTATGCAGAAAAGTGAACTGAACAATTTTTGCCTCAGAGTCACATCGAAATTCTTGACGGAATTTAAAATAAAAGAAAAGTCGGGAAAATATATTTTGGCCCAGCCAGGCAAGTGGTCCTGGGCCACTCTGGTAGCCTGGATTTTGAGTCTATTTTTATTTTCATTTTGGCATGCGGCAAAAGTTGTTCAGTTTAATTTTTTGGCGTAACACAGCTTTTTTTTTCCGGATTTTTTTGGAACTTTTTATTTTTGTATTTTCTTTTTGCAGGGACCCAGGTGGCCCGGGCCCGGTTGGTAACACAGTTCTTTTAGTTATTTCAATATTTTCGATTTCTTTTTCCTTTTTTTTTGTCGAGAAAGGTCATTATGTCAAGTCACGAATAGGAACAGAGATCCCCATCCAGTCCAGGGAAGGGAAGCGTTGGCACTCTGCCGTGCCATGCCAGCAGGTCGGGTGCCCAGTGCTGTGATGCTTCTGCCAATGAGGAAGGACAGTTTCATCTGATCGTTGGCTTTTGTGTCGGTCTGCTGTTGCTTTTCTACTTTCTTCGCATGTATAGATTTTCTCTAAGCTGGAGCAGGGGCGGCTGCCGGCCGAATATGAGCTTGTACAAGGGCTGCTGGAAGCAATGAGAGAGGGGAGAGGGGGTGTGAGGAGGTGGCAAGACTAATGCGGTTTGGGGAGTGTTTGGCAGATTCTGCAGTGTGGGAGGTTGCTGAAGGTGGGAGGTGTTATCTTCTAGATGAGTAGCTATTTCACCCTTTTCCCCCTTACCCTTTCTCCTTCCTATTATCGACTTTCTCGCACTGTCATTTTTCTGGTGGTCGCTGCCAGGTTACATGAGAAAAGGGTGAAGGGATGTTTTTGTCCCAGATATGGAGAAACGGGAAAGAAGACACCCTCCTCTTGTCTCCCACTGCAGCTGGACTGAAAAGGAGTTGAAATGCTAGTCGGGAAGGGAGTGTCTCTGTGAGTCGAGCGTTCTTTGGCGCGTACTTTTTGTGTGGGGTGAGGAGCCGGTGATGAAGACATTAACAGTTGCTGTATCTGGATATGACTGACCCATCTGAAAGCTCTGGCATGATGGCTCACGACCGAGCGGACACAGGACCGTGATCTCTTTGTTGTCTGCCTTCACGCCACATTTCGTATGCTGACCGAAAGCCGCTGAGGACTGTAGAATCGAGTATTGCCCATGGCACCAGTTCGAGCAGGAGGGGACTGGTTCGAACATGGCACTAACTGGATCGTGGGTTGGACAGGATCATAGCTTGAATTGAATGTAGGAGGGTAGGAGCAAGCAGAGTTGGAGGTGATATGTTCTGTAGTTGTCTAGGCCAGATAAGCATAGGCTGTTCTGGTGGTTACACACACACACACACACACACACACACAGTTGGTGAAAGTCCGATGAAACAGTCTGGCACGGTCATGCTTTTTTTTTAGTGTATAGCGGATATGACACACACACACACACACACACACACACACATACACACACACACACACACACACACAGAGAGAGAGAGAGAGAGAGAGAGAGAGAGAGAGAGAGAGAGAGAGAGAGAGAGAGAGAGAGAGAGAGAGAGAGAGGGATGGGCTTGTTGTGGATTGATGTCTGGTCCAATGTATTGGACAATCATTTGAGATGATTTGTGACGATGTGGAGTCACGAAGCCAAGCGTCAGGGCTTATGTTTTTTTTTTTTTTTTTTTTTTTTTGGTCATTGAATTAAATGTTTATCATTGTTTTGTGTTATTGTGGGGATTTCTCTTTGACCACCACTGCCACTGATGCCAACAGAGGCAGCCAATGTTGTGGCATGCAATCTTGGCCAGTGGAAGGTGGTAGGGCTCCCCACCAAACGCAGGCATTGCAGCAGAGCGTGGAGTCTTTGGTCTGTCAAATTTTTCCGTGCTTTTTCCATGTGGCAGAAAACTTAGTAGATTAAGTGCGGCAATCTGTTAGAGGATTTTTTTCCCTTTTTTGAAAGAGCTCCCAACCTTGGTCTGCTAGAGGGGGTGATATGAGCATCTCCCTCTGGCAGACCAATTGCTGCTTGCTCCAGTCTATTGGTGGGGAGCAACACCTGCTGGAAACTGGGCCCAGCATCCCATATACATCCCCTTTAATTCCACCAGTGGGGCCGCTACCCGGTTTCAACTGAGACCAACAAAGAACAACACGAAAACCAGTACATATGGACGGCCTCTTCGGCCTCCCAGGCTGCCAAATGGACAAAAGCATCTTTTGGCTGTGTCATTTGCTGGAGATTGAACTGGAGGCACTTGCAGACGCATAGCAGCGCACTCCGTACCTGTAACCCTTTGAAGTGCGGGGGCATCGGGCCAAGTGGAAGTGGCTGCTCAGGTCCTACTGCGGCCGGTTGGGGCACACAATAAGAAGAGCTCTCAGGTTGAGTTCTCAGTCAGAATCATCAAAGCAGACATTCATAATTACAATGCTTATCAGGGTCGAGACCCTCGATTTCAGGATATTTCCAGAGGCTTAAAAAAACTCGCAACATACCTGTCACAACATAAGCTCAGCAAAATAAGTCCCGATCATGACATATAATCTACAAAATAACTTCCATAATATTTCCGAAGTACCTGGGGTCGGTCACCTGTGGATACATCTTAAAGCTGCTGCCCTTTAAAAAAAGCGAAAATGAAAAATTGCGGGATCGGACCTGCCTGCACCTGTGGGTCGCCGCCCCCCTCAAAACCTGGCCAGTAAGGTCGGGAAGGCCGAATTTAGGCCGGCTGGGGGAGTGGTGGTTTAATCGTGGGGGGGTTGGCTGGGCCCCTAACACCTGCAACTGCCCCTCCGTTATTGTTTTAAGCCACCAGTTCCTCTGACTTCAAAAATTCGGGGGGATCGGTAGCACAAGGTAATTAAGGCTACCGGTAGTTGGACGTGGACAATTGGGCTCTCAGCGAGAAGGGAAAATGCGTCAACTTGGCACGATGACTGATTTTGCGGTTTAAACGTTTTTTTTTGTTTTTTTTTTTTTAATTTGGAAGTATTTCTTCTGGAAAGATCATGACCACCGTCCAATTTTTGTAATTATAGACGTTTTCTTTTGAGCATGAAAATCTGCTGAAATCAGGGTACTTTTCCCGTCGGCCCACACTTCGTCGGGACTGGAGGTTTAACATGTCGCCCCCCGAATGGACCCGAAAAGGGATTGTACAGCCCCTCGGACGACTCTTACAAATCCCTTGGGGTCGTTTGTATGAGTTGGGCTGGTCATACGAACAGGCCGTCCCAGTCGGAGGGGACAACACTTCTTCTTCATCGTTGTCGTCTTTGTCTTCGTCTTCTTTTTTGCTTCATTTGCCTCTTTTTCAACATCATTTTCTTCTTCTTCTTCTCCTTCTTCTTCTTCTTCTTCTTCTTCTTCTTTTGTTTGTATTCTTGTTCTT